GCATTAGCACATGCAATTAAACAGAGGAAAGATGTGTGAGAAGGTGCAGAAAGAAATCCTCCGCCAGTTGCCACACACATGACCTCCTCCACCTAACATCTCTTTTGTGTGCTCCTCTGGCAACAAGATGAAGTCCGTGTTTTTTAGCACATGCAAGGTCTCTTCTGGCCGGTAAGGTGATCCGAACCCTTCACCTTGGTGTTATAACACATGCTCTAACCACCTGAGTAACTGGCCGGCCCCCTCCATCCATTCAAATAAAGCATCCTCTCTTCATTTTGTAGCTGTGTTCTATATGTCTTCATATTTGGGCAAAAAATCTTAAATAATGTGCACAAAGTAAAGACATCTGAATGAAATAAAGAGAAAGTCTTTAAAATGACCCCAGGGGAGGGTAAACATGTCTAGCCTGATTAATTGGCTGGATCAGGAATAACTGCTTCCAAGTGAGTGACAAGGCGTGGTCTGTCATGTCACGTTGTCCTCAGTTATAGTAAAAGGCAGATAAGGAAGGCTGAGATGTTCAGTTTCAGTAGCAAAAAGCACATGGTGTCCTTTCTGGATAAGTGGGTTGTACTGCCTATCAGGAGGGAGAGGTAACAGGTGGCAGCCTTCCTATAATAAAATAAGCAATTTTTAAAGAAAGTTCTCCCATAGGGACTTTTTAATACCAGAACCTGCGGTGGGGAAAATTGGCCCAAGGACAGGCAAAAGACCTGAGAGGGAAAGCAGCTGTATTTTCAACACAAAAACAATGCCATTTGAAGTACTGGCTTGAATACAGAGTATTATGAAAGTTCCTAATTTGGCTAGTGTCAGTATTTCTTAATATAGTAACATTATCAATGTCTGTCCCCCTAATCCTGTATAAATATGAAACCACCCCCCTCCATGTTATTGGCCAGTTAGAAATAATAATATAAACAGACGTTGTTCTAATTAAGTTTTCTGTTTGTGCACTGAAAGCTTTGTCAACCTGCAAATATTTTAATATTTACTCTAAGCCACAAAGCTTTGCCAAACAAGATACTGAAATTACTCTCTGCTGTTTTAGAATTAGAACACATACTAACTTTTAAAGTATTATTTGGGAAAAAAAAGAAGCTTGGGATTGAATTTTCTTTATCATGAACTTTAGGTCATTCTTTTTGTTCTACTGCATAGAAGACACTAAAAATTAGATCTGCTCTATCCACACGATGGCTACATTTTCTTTTTCCACTTGGCCTAAAAATTCAGGGGTTGGTTATAGAGTCTACTTGGGGTGGATTTGAGGAGAATGTAGTAAGGGAGAGAGAAAAATAATGTACAAGTTGAAAGAATGAAAAAGGTAAAGGACAAAAGCTGGAAGAATGAAAACAGCTGACATGTCATTCATGGCTTTCTCGGTGCCTTGCGTCATGGGGTAGTGTTGGTTTTCCTACCCACAGTGAGAGCAAGGAATCAGTGGGTTGTTGTATCCATTAATAGCATTAATATCCATTAATTAATTAATTAACATTTATTAATAGGGTAGAGACGTTTCAAAAGGAAGAGGAGAACGTGCATTAAAGGACCTGCTTTCTTCATGGCATGGGGGAGGGGCTCGGTTTCCACCTCGAGTTAATGCCACGTGCGGGACTCTGAGTTGTTACGTTCAGGTAAACAGTGAGGGGGGAAATAGAAAGGCAGTCAGTAGTTAAACTGGTGTTTCAGAAGTCATTTTAAGAGGATATTAAATAAAATGCATTAATTTCATTTAAAAATAGCTGGTAGAAAAGCAGAAGGTTGAAGATGAAAACCTTCTAAGTCAAAGAGCTGGATACTCTTTAGCCAAAACACCACTGTATTTACAAACACATAGGGAAAAGCAACATTCATTTTTTAGGAGGTTGCTAAGCTTACCTGAGCAACCTCTGAGCATTCGCTCATGTTCTCTGAGTGGCCCCTAAAACCTGAATGCCCCCTGGGCCACCTATCTCAACACCATTTGTGGCCAGGATTCAAGTTTTTTCTCATGGGGCTTTAAGGTCTCATCTGCATCAGGGGATGTAGCTCAGGACTTGTTTATTTCACCTGAGTGTTCTATGACAAACACGCAGCAGATGCTGGAAGTGAGAGGAGAGGGGTTCATTTCAAAGTCAGTCCCTGCAATTTCAGATCAACTGGAAGTCATCCTCTGGTGAACCTCCTGTGTTGGAAAAGGGTGCGGTGGGGCCAGAAAGCTTCTATGGATGAGGTTTTCTCTTATTTTAGATTTTATCACTTGAGTCCTATTCCTGAAACAGCGCATTGGAGAACAGAGGCAGTGTCATAGCCTGTGGATGGTGCTGGAAGAGCCCAGAGACTCCCAGGTTGCGGATCGTGGCCGCGAGCCACGAGAGGGCTGAGCCCAGCAGCCTGCTGGGTGGCCCGCGGGAAGCGCCCGCCTGCCACAGCGCATCACCTCAGCTGTGGCTGTCACCGTGCTAATTCCCTGGATGTTCATAACAGAGGGGGCGGGGGCTGACCCGGGAAATGGAAGAAAGGAGCTCCAGAAACTAAAGCTGCAGGGGCGGGGGAAAGAGTTACCAGAGGTTCAGCAAAACAGCGAGCAGATGCAAACGGAGGCAGAGGGCGGGGAAAGGCTGGGCTTAAGTAACCTGCTGCTGGGGTTTAGATAAAGGACGTTCGAGAGGCGGGGCCGGTTTCTAATAGCAGCCCGGGGACAGAGCCAGCAGCTGGGCTCCCGGGATGAAACGGAGCAAGTTCACGGCGTCTGCTTCAGAAGGGCAGGCATGACTGGAGCATGTGCCAAAACAAGAACTCAGAGGAAAAAAGGAAGTTCGGGGAAGGACTTAGAGATTTTGATGGTCTCTGACCCTCGCCCCTCTCTGAGGCATGCCTTCGTCCATGCGGTACCTCTTTGTAGTTTCTGTCTCCAGCGTGATCGTTTTCATCGTGCTCTATGTGTTCAGTTTTGGAGGAGACCAAAGCTTCCAGAGGCTAAATAGCTCGGACACTTTGATGCTGACTCAAATTTGCACATCCTTTATCAACGGGAAAACGCCTTTCCTGTGGAGAAATAAACTAATGATCTATGAGAAGTCTTCTTGCAAGGAATACTTGACCCAAAGCCACTACATCACGGCCCCCTTATCTAAAGAAGAAGCTGCATTTCCTTTAGCGTATATCATGGTCATCCATCACAATTTCGATACCTTTGCAAGGCTCTTCAGGGCTATTTACATGCCCCAGAATATCTACTGTGTTCATGTGGATGAAAAGGCCACAACTGAATTTAAAGATGCAGTAGAGCAATTACTGAGCTGCTTCCCCAATGCTTTTCTGGCTTCAAAGATGGAACCAGTTGTCTATGGTGGGATTTCCAGGCTCCAGGCTGACCTGAACTGCATCAAAGATCTTTCAGCCTCTGAGGTTCCATGGAAGTACGCCATCAACACCTGTGGCCAGGATTTCCCCCTGAAAACCAACAAGGAAATAGTTCATTATTTGAAAGGATTTAAAGGGAAAAATATTACTCCAGGGGTACTGCCCCCAGCTCATGCAATTGGACGGACTAAGTACGTCCACCGTGAGCATCTGGGCAAAGAGCTGTCCTATGTGATAAGAACAACAGCTTTGAAGCCACCTCCTCCCCGTAATCTCACCATTTACTTTGGTTCTGCCTATGTTGCTCTATCCAGAGAGTTTGCCAGCTTTGTTCTCCATGACCCACGGGCTGTCGATTTGCTGCAGTGGTCCAAAGACACTTTCAGTCCTGATGAACACTTCTGGGTAACACTCAATAGGATTCCAGGTATGTGAGATTCCATATTTCATGCAAAGGAGACACGCCATAGTTGAGAGGGCTTTTGAAGAACCTGCCACTTTTTACTAGAAAGTAGCAGGTGAAAACTGGAACTTGTAGTTCTCATCCCAGTCCTTTCTAAATGCAGAATGATGTTCTTTCTGTGATAATTCAAGTATTCTAGCACTACCAAATAATACCCTTCTATGGTACTGCTTTGTAGTTTATCATGTTCTTTGCATACATCACCTTATTAAATCTTTACCACAACAGATGCTACTGTTCTCAATCCATACTTTCTTTTCCCAAAATTTGTCAAACTTGTTCTTACCCCGGGATCTTTTCTTGAGCATCCTCCTGCCTACCCCAGATCTACACAGGCTCCTTCTCATCAGCCAGATCTCAGCTCAACCACCCCACCCTGGCCATTCGCCAGCACACCACCTTGTTTTCCCTTTGAAGAGTTTATCACCCTCTGGAATTACCATATGGACCTGTTTGCATGAGTTGTTTCTTAGTCTCCTCTGTTCTAGCTCCATGAAGTTGGGGTCATTTTCTGTTTTGTTAACTGCTGTACCCTCGATGCTTACAACACATAGTAAATGCTCATATATTTAATATTAGATGAGGGAATGAGTGAGTGAACGAATGAATGAATGGTAAAGCTTGAGGCTTTACTACAGCACCACAGCTATCTCCCCAATACCCAGTGAGCTGAGAAATATTTGGACGCATGCATGTGCCATACTCAGTGTACAGGGGTTTTTTGTTGGCTTTTTTTTTTTTTTTGATACATTTTATTTCAGATACATAATGAGATTCTAGGAGACACTCCTTTCTTTCTCACCAAAACTTTTCTACCTTTACTAATTTACCAAATTGATTCTTTTTTTAGATATGTAAAATATGATACAATTTCTTGTGAAGGAAACAGCATGCTTTGGATTCAATGAAAAATACAAAATGGATCTCTGATGAACTAGACAGCATTATTATAGCAAGAGAGAAGCAATCATTGTTCTGGCTTTTGGGGGGCTGCCAAGTTGGAAATGCTGGTAGATGCTCTCAGACTGCAGGGCAGGGCCCGCTGGGTGATAAACATGCCAGCATTTGCTAGAAAATACTGCGTCTGGTCTCTGAAACCCAGGGCAGCTTGCCCGGAGCACAGCGCTTGCTCCCGTGCAGCGCATTCTCTTATCCCAAGCCACCTCTCCCTCCAGCCACCAGATTTTCACCTTTACTCTGCTGTTTCCTTCCTCGGCATATAATTTAGGAGCATTAGGTACTTACAGGCTGATTTTCATATTGAAATATTTTATTCCTTTTCTATTTTCACTATTCCCTCAAAATTCATAAAGGTTTGGTACTGGCCATGTGGTTCCTTAGGTATTGTACTAATGTGAAGCCATTTAGTAATTTAGCAAAAGTCTGGATTGTCGCTTTCAACAAACAAACAAAAAACGTGGGTTTTGGTTTGTATTAAATGTCTGTGTTACTTTACCAGAAGGATGATCGATTTTATCAATGTCAAATCAGTATAAGAAAATCAAGGAAAAATGAGTCCTTTTCTTCCTTAGCCCCCTTCCTTTTTTCTGCTCTAGCCAAATAGATGAGGTTGGAGACCACAAGTGACATCTAGACCAGCACAGCGGAGAAAACATTTTTGGCTATAGGTTTGTGGTGTGGCACACTGGCCTCTCACCACTCACAGCAACGACATGACCCCGCATAAGTCATGGAACCTCCAATCTCCCCAGTTACAAAAAGAAGGGCGCAGGTAGGACCTTTTGTTCCTACCTGCACTTTTCTTTGCAGAAGACACAACGCCCAGAACCGTGTAAAGACCTCAAATACAGCTTCCAGGGAATCTGTAGAGACCGGACACCCATTAGCTCTGTGAGCTCATCCCATTTTCCGTGCAGGAACTGGAGTTGAGAGCCGCTCTGGAAAGCATCTCCCCAGGGAGGAAGGCAAGCGTGGCCGTGTCAGCGGGCTGTCCAGCCTGATCTGCAAGGGGTGCATTTTAGGATAACGTGATATTTCTTTGGGCTTTGCCTCCTTCCTTTCTTAGACTTTGGGCAACATCCTGGTTCAGGGAGAAAGGATATCCTGTTTGCAGGTGGGGCCTTTCCAAATTACACATGAATTAAAGAAAACAAATCATCAAACACAATAGCCCCAGTGGTTCTCTCCATCTTCAAAGGCAATGTAAAATCAAATTGCATGTAACCCCAGCGGCTTCACGCTAGAGCAGACTTTGTAACTTAAGATTTGGAGTGTGAATCTGGTTCTCCATTACCAGACAGCCTTTCATCATATCAGCTCTTCGATTTTCTTTTTTTTTTTTTTGGTGGCTGGCCAGTATCAGCGCTTGTGTTTTCAATGTCATTTTTTAAGGGGAGAAGTTCTTCTATAAATATAGCTTAAACATCTTTTATGCAAATGTGCAGGTACAGAGGGTGCTGTTTATTTCTTCCCTCAAAGCTACCTTCTCCATTTTCCCCTGAACACCCTCAAAATGTGTGTGTTAGAAAGGCCTTTTGCAGGCATATCAGGTTTCCCAAAACACCCCTAAGAGTAATACAAGCAAGAAAATGATTAGTATAAATTTGAATGGTATCAGAAAACAAAGTGAAACATTTAGAATTGGTGAGCCTGTATGGAAAGATGGCTGTAGAGATAGCACTAAATCACACAGCTTTCCCCTGCTTTTTCTGTTTTCGTGGTGTCTTTCTATTGAGAGAATAACTCCTGTCTTGATTTTCAACCCTTAGGCTCCTGTAACGCTGTGTAAGAAATGGTGCTAGAATGAGCCAGAAAGGCTCTTGGAGGCCCCAGTCTCACACCTGTCTTCAGGGCAGCCAGGCAGTGTGGCTGTCATGCTGTTCTCTGTGGCTCCCGTACAGATGGGGCGTCCAGCCCTCTCCCTTCTGACCACATGCTCAAAGGAAACCCTGCAGGATCACAGATTTCTCTGACTCACACTGGAAAGCCGCAGGCTGTGATAGCAGAAGTTTACTCTGTCTTCCCGTGCACGCTTAAATTTTCTAACTTCATTGATCTTTGTAATTATGGCCCATTTTCTCTAGCTCTTCTGGTCATTCTTCCAGTGTTTTTATCTGCCTAACTGCCTCAAGGCAGAGCACCAGAGGCCATTTAAATTTTTGCTTTATGTCTTGTGAAATTGTTCTGCACCTGCCGAGGCTGCCGCAGGTCTAGTTTTTTCAGTTCGCTCCCATGGCTAAATTGTCTTCCTATCCCATCCAGTCCATCTCTAAGGAAAAGGAGAAACTGCTGCACACTTTGGCTGCAGCCACTTTTCCCCTCACCGCATTAAGTTTGTTCTTTTGAATCTTTGCTCATGTGTCACTCTGACTTTTCTTGTGCCATGATGTTTTTGTTCCGTAGGAATGTTTTCATCAGTCTCTCTTCCTTTTTCCATTTTGTATTCACTTTTTTTCAGAGCCCCTTTGTCAATTAAATTATCTAGACTTCAGAAAGGACCACCTGATCACACTTCCTCATTTTTTAGTTCTAAAAATAGTGTGTTTCCTAGTTTGATTTATTTTTGCTTTTTTAACTGTGACTTTTATTTACATGGGCACATTCTTCACTGCGGTGTTGTAACTCTTCAGGTTGTGAGTGTCAAAAACTCTACGCAAAGTAGCTTAAACAAATACCAGAAATTACTGGGTCACATAACTGAGATGCCTAAGGGGACTCCAAATCAAGCTGGATCATGGTTGAAACGACGTATTTAGGACTCTTTCTTGCTAATCTCTCTGTGGGGCGACCAACTGTCCCTATTTGCTGAGGTGTGGGGGCAGGGGGGTGTCCTGTGCAGAACTTTCATGGCTAAAATGCAGAAAGTTCCAGGTAAACCAGGACGAGTTGGTCACCCTATTGCTCTGCTTCTTTCTGTCGGCTTCATCCAGGCGATTCTCCCCACGTGATGTCAGAGATGGCCAGAAGTCGCTCCAAGCTCACTTGGTTTTGACAGCTGGCACTCCTTGGGGAAAGAAAGCCTTTTGCCTGCTAGTTCCGGCCATACCTCAGGGGAGACCTCAGACTGGTCCTGCTTAGTCCAAATTCCCATCACTAAACAAATCAGGAGATGAGGAGTGCTGACTAGCTCTTCTTGGGTCATTTTCCCACCTTGGAGCTAAAGACTAGGGGCAGGCCTTGGTGGTGGACAGCTCCTCAGAGTGACACTGGGCACGCCCACTGTACGATGTCTCCTTGTCCTATACCAGAGGGTTGTTAATGACCATGTCCACGTGGTATTAGAGGAGCAGGATTCACTGATGTGTGTGTGTGGGTGTGTGTATGGCTTCACCACCCGAGCAATTTTAACTTTGAAAATAATAATTAAATTACTTTTATGGAAAAGGCATGATCTCAATAACCATATTCTTTTTCCTCGTAAAAACAGTTTTTAATAATAATGCTACTTTATAATATTTGGACAGTACTTAGTTTGCAAGGGGATTTCTTATGCATTGTCTCCTTTAGTCCTTAAGAGAACTCTTTAAGAGGGGGATTGTTATTCCCATTTTACAGATGAAAAAATTTAAGATTGAAATATGTGACTGCCCAAAGACAAACATTGCATATACCAAACAAGAAATAAGAATAAAAAGGAATATCCAGGGGAGGGAGAAGTAACACTTATGTTATACACTTATTTTCAATTGAACCTAGTTTTATGAATTCTTCATTTAATTATTGTAATAAACACAAGTGTTCAGAAGATGGAACTTAGCTAATTCTAAGTACTATTAAATTTGCCGAATGATTATATAATTGGACCCACCCAAGAATTTTCCCTTTCATCTTTCTATTGAGCTGATTTTTACAGAAATTGTGACTTTTTCCTGTGAGCAGAGGTACAGGAAACATGAGGGGAATTAATGTTTACTCTTCATGTGCCTGTGGGTCTAGATTATCTCAGCTGAATCTTCACAAGAATCCTGTACACTCTGTACTTAAATGCACATTTTGCAAATGTG